TTTCTTTTAAAGGGTTCTTGGTCCAACTGTCTTGATAAGAAAAAAAATTATAGTCATTGCTCAAAATGCTTGTAGCAAATTTAGTTTAAAATTGAAGCAATTTATTCCAAAAGCAATCTACTACTGCAACAATAATCAATGTGTTTTCCCTTAGCCCATACTGGAGCTTTCCAAGGACTATTGTTAGCTGCCTTTAACTAAATAACTACTGGTGCCCTTAAATGTAACTCTTGGCACTTTTTCATTTGTTGTGTTTAACCAAATGCCAGTTTTCCTTAGGTTTGCCTAGCAATTTTGCTTTACAATTTTCAATATTCAGTCTCAGTCCTTTAAAGTGGGCAAAGCCTATCATTTTAACAAAATAACACAAAGACTAAACATATTTTAAAAGGTCTGTGCTTTCTCTTTCCATCCTCTGATGTTGAATTGTACTGAAATTGAATCTTTTTTTATTTTTTAAGTGCCGCCACTATAAGCATCTTGAACTTGAGCTGAAAAGCAGGCCCCAATTCAAAGGATAAAATTACATTTGCTGGGGCAACACCATTCACATTATAATGCAAAGATATTCTTTGAAATTAGTGTTTTGGGTTTCTTCAGATATATTCCCAGAAGTGGAATTGCTGGGTCATAAGGCAGTTCCATTTTAATGGAAAGATAAAACACAGAAGTGGGCCCAAATCTTTTCTTTTAACTGTAACAGAATTTAACCCCTAGTAATTTTGTCCTCATTCAATGTATAAGCAATAATGGGTAGCACTCATATTAATGAATGTGTCCAGCTTGGAGCAAAAGAAATGTAGCAATTAAATTTAATAACCATTTCTTTAGGAGCTTTTATATATGCTTTATAAACCAATGTGAATAACTTAAATCAAATGGAAAAATTTTTAACCTGCACATATTTATAATGCAAAAGCATATAAATTACTCTTGCATGAAAATAATGTAACTGAGAAGCAGGCACTGGTGTGTGTACTATTCAGAAAAACACATTTCTTTTCTGACTCTCAAGGATGTTATAAGAACACCATGCTTCTGCATGTAATTTTACAGAAGTATCTGGGAACAGTCTGAGATAATCTTAGGCTTTCAGTATCAATTAGCTCCTTGTAAATGCTATTTCTTTTGACAAGATTTTGCTATTATTAGTAGTAAATGACTATCATATGGCTCAGAAAACTTATTCTTGCTTATTGCCTATACTCTAGATATATAACTTTTCATATGTTTGTACCTTAAAGGAGGTATTCATGTGACACAAGACCACTTTGTAATTGCTTAGCTACATTGACCCTGCTCTCTTTTTCTCATTACATTTCAGACAATACTATTTATTGGCCTAGTAAATAGTGTATAAAACTTTCTGAGTGGCTCATGACATCTAGAAATGGAAATCACTAATATTTGGGCAATTACTTCTCTAAAAATAAAAGACTTTATTTTTATATAATTTTTCTCTAATTTATACATACTCAATTTTTACAAGTTGAAAAAAAAAACTATATAGAGACCAATATTATAAATTCCATCTGAAGAAAATGAGAACTCTCCTTACTGGATTAATAGTATTATGTCCTAGGCATGTTTTTCCATGTTTCTAAAGATATTTGACTAGATAAGGGTGCATAAGACATGTTGGATGCCCAAGCCCAGTGCCATGCCTCGAGAATCAAAGAGTGTGCTTGGGGGCAACACAGAAGAACCCTTCCCTGCCTGGGAAGTTATCTACAGCATAACAGCTGTCCTGACTTCCATTTCTCTTTACAGCTTCTCCCCACATAGAACGTAGGTTAGACCTTACAATGGCTCTTTAAAATTTTTTTCAAATAATTGAAGTACTATTCACATAATAAAATGCATAGATCTTAAGCATTCAGCTTAATAAGTTTTGACAAATGTATGTACTTCTGTATCCAACCCCCCAAAATGCAGAATATTTATTGCACCCCAGAAAGTTTTCTCTTACCACTTTCCAATAAATATTATCATAACCCATTCACCAAACAATCATTTTGTGATTTCTATAACTGTGCTTAATTTTGCCCTGTTCTTAGACTTCATTTAAATAGAACTGTACAAAAAAAAAGATATTATTTTATATCTGGATTCCTTCACCTAACATCATTTGTGAGATTCATGCATGTTGCATGTATCTGTAGTTTATTCCTTGTGCTGCTGTGTATGTTCTAGCATATGGACACACAACAGGTTGTTCATTATCTCCTGTTAAAGAGCATTTGGGTTGTTTCCAGTTGTGGCTACTTTGAATGAGACTACTCTGAACATTCTTGTACACATCTTCTTGTCGACATCTGCTTATATTTCCTTTGGGTAAATACTTAGGAGTATAATTGCTGCTGATAGGATGCATTCATACTTAACTTCGTTAGAAACTACTTCAGATTTTCTAATATAGTACTGCCATTGAGCACTTCCACTAGCAAGGTTTGGGAGTGGAAGTTAAGCATTCTCCATTAGTTTTCCATTTTTTTTCCTCCCAAAAGAAATTTTAGAGTGATCAATTTCAACTGTTTAATGGGTTAACTTAGAAAAAAAAGAATGAATCTTAAAAGGAGCCATAATCTCCCATCATAATCAGTGTAATTTAAAGCAGATTTTTCTGATGCATAAATTAGCCTACTGGCATGTTAGAGCATTATGCGGGCTTCTTTGTGTGGTGGAGTTTAACACACATAGAACAAGTTTTGAGAGAACAAGACTCATTGGACCCCACAGTATTATCTACTCACTTATCCTTTCTTTTCACATACCCTTGGGAAAACATTATGCTGAATAGCATTTTATATTTCATTTTTGGTATTTTTGTGGTACCATTTTATATTGTCTCTCACAAGAGTCAACAGATAACACTGTCTGATATTTATAAATCCAAAATATTAAATTTCCTGGAGGTACTTTTCAGTATTTCACACTTCATATTAATTTACTTAGACCCTAAAAGATTTAACAGTTCACTTTATTTTTCTTTCTTAAATTCATGAAATCCAACCACTTTTTCTAATATTTTCTTCTAGTCCTTTTTAATTTTAATAAGAGCAGGAAAACATACTTGATAAACTGTTGACTTAGAAATGAAGGACTAGAAAAATTACAAGTATGGCTGAGGTTTTTCTGCAATGCAAACACACACACACACACACACACACACACACACACACACACACAGAGTCCTTGTGAGAAAATGATGGCCACACTTTTCAGATTATTTATCACCAATACTGCACTACACCCAGGATGATTTCACCCCATTAAAAAATCTCAGGAATGATCTTGTAATCCAAGAGTAGTCATCACTACAAAACCATGCATTAAATTTCCTAATCTAAGCCTATTATAAAATTAGATAACCCTCTAGTGGTATCTAAATTACAAAATCAAAAATACCATTATTATAGAGCCATAATTTCAGAAATATTTATCTTTAGTTGTAATTAAGGAAAATAGTACTTTTCAAGGTAGTTGTCAACTGCAGTGAGCAATGGCTACCCATCAGTAGCCATATAGACTACAATGATCAAGGACACATGAATGCAAAGGCAGTAATTTAAAGTGATTTTCAAAGTCTGTGGAGTCTGGTTTAATGTGTAAATGCAAGTAGCCTTGAATTTGTTACAATATCCATGAATTCTAAAGAAGAAAAAAGTTCTAGCCGGTTTGGCTCAGTGGATAGAGCATTGGCCTGCAAAGTAAAGGGTCCCTGGTTCAATTCTGGTCAAAGACACATGCCTGGGTTGTGGGCTCCAACTCCAGTAGGGAGTGTGCAAGAGGCAGCTGATCAATAATTCTCTCTCATTGATGTTTCTATCTCTCCCTCTCCCTTACTCTCTGAAATCAATAAAAAATATATTTAAAAATAATAATAAAATAAAGGAGAAAAAAGAAGTGAATATTTTATCCTGAAAAAAATTGATAATTTTTATGTAATGTAGACATTTAATCGGAATAAGAGAACTTGTGTACAGTGAATAGCAAGAAAATAATTTTTTTTTTGGTTTTGATAGAATGTAGTAACATGTGAGTAGCCTAGTGAAAGGAAAACACTCCCAACATAGTCTGGTGTAACATCTACTAGGTGGACTATCTCTTTAATCCTAGTAAGCATGCAGCCCCCAAGACTATGGTAAACCACACTGGCACCACTTTATTCAGAAAAATGTAGGACAGAAGTCATTGCTCCTGGCAAGAGACAGCAGACAATATTGATTAGATGGTATACCCAACACTCTCTGAAACAGTCCACACTGCCCCTCAGAAACTGTGTTTTTTCGCTCATCTACCTTTAGTCCCAGCCTTCAAGTGACAGCTCAGGTGAGAAAGATAAAGATTCACATTAGGGCAAGCCAGTGTGGCTCAGTGGTTGAGTGTCAACCTATGAACCAGAAGGTCACGGTTCAATTTCAGGTCAGGACATATGCCCTGGTTGCAGGCTCAATCCCAGTGGGGGGCATGTAGGAGGCAGCCAGTCAATGATTACCTCTCATCATTGATGCTTCTCTCTCTCTCTCTCTCCCCCTTCCTCTCTGAAGTCAATAAACATATTTTTTTTTAAATATTCAGAAGTCATCCTGGCTTAAAAGCTTCATATCAACAGAAATCAACTCTATAAGCATAGCTATTAGAATTCTTACAAGGGTTTTGTTTATATGTAAGAGTTATTTCACTCAGGCAAGACTAAAATTATTTTTTTCCAAACAAGTATTTATAATTCTGTCAGTCCAAATGCAATCTAGGAACATAGGTTCATTTTTACCACAAGCAATGTTGCTTAGCAACAGTTATCATATACCACCTCATCTGGTTACCAAGGAAACAAAGCTAGAAAGTTATTGAAAGGCCACATTTTCATGCAAAAAGGAAAGGGGATGTGTTAATGCATTGCCCACATCTGGTCTCATCCACAAAACTGTGAAATCAAGTTGAATTTATGATTTTGGGTGTGAATATGGTATAAATCTCTCTTGTGGTGTTTTTCCTAGAGCTGATGTACACAGTTGAACTTGCTGGAGGGCTAGGTGCTATCCTTTTGCTGCTTGTTTGTTTGGTGACCATCTACAAGTGTTACAAAATAGAAATCATGCTCTTCTACAGGAATCATTTTGGGGCTGAGGATCTGGATGGAGGTAAGATGAGTTCCCTCTTTTAATGTTTTTCTGAATATTCTTATTCATTTCTGTCTCTGTTTCACTGAGAGAAAAGACAAGTTAACTTCGTTAACCATTAATAAGAGCTTTAGAATCCTTCAGTGTTCAATTTGTAACTTCATTTTTTTACATGGAACTATATGTGTGATTCTTTGGAGCCAATAGGTATTTTCCTCTGAAAATTGTAAAGCAACACCTGCCCTCTTTTGAATTGTATTCCAAACACCACTTGTGAATTATAAGTGCTGATTACAATGCTATCAGAGTATTCATTTTCGCTCACATTGTAATCAGTACTGAAAGGCCAGCTTTACTTTTCTATATAGGTAAGGAGTGTCTCTTTTAATTGTGTTCCCTAGCCTGGTAGTTTGAAGTGAATCTCAATTTGTTCCTTATTTAAACTGATCAGTTATAATAAACTGTACTGAATATTTTAGAATTCACCCAGCAATCTTTTTAAGCCTGTTTATTTAGCTGTAATTAGGCAAGCTAATTTTTATTCTAAGTGTGGACCAACAGATAGGAAAGTGCACAAGCATATTGTTTTCATAATTATACATTTATTAGTTTTACTCAAATTGGACAAGTAAATATTATTTTCATAGAAATGGTAATTGTTTTTGCCTCTGGTCAGTCATAAATATGCGTATAATCTAAGAGGAATTTAGGTTGCTAAAAATTGAGCTCTTTAAACCACCTATTAGAGGACTTAAGTTTTTTTTTTTTTCCTTTTTGGTCCTTTGAAAATGGTTCCTATATAAGATAAATTTGCAATACAGGAAGCATATGCAAATTGACAATAAATAGTTCAGATGATGGTTTCTCGATGATATTTATAAACTTCTTTTCATTAACTGTCAGCTTTACACTAAATAGTACAAAGAAAAAATGCCCATGGTACCACATTTCCAGGTCTTCTGGAAGAAATCCCCAGGTAGAAGTATAGCTTGCCAGACTTGTGAGGAGGAGCAGTTCATTTAGCATCCCTAACACTCCTCTCTATTTTTTTTTTGTTTTAAATATATATTTTTTTATTTCAGAAAAGAAGGGAGAAGGGATATAGAAACATCAATGATGAGAGAGAATCATTGATCGGCTGCCTCTTGCACGCCCCACACTGGGGATTGAGCCCGCAATCTGGGCATGTGCCCTGACCAGGAATCTAACCACGACCTCCTGGTTCATAGGTTGATGCTCACCCACTGAGCCATGCCAGATGGGCTTTAACACTCCTCTCTATTTAACCTCCCCTTTCCATTAGGGTAAAGTCTGTGCTGCAGCAAAACTGTATTTTTTTTCTTTTAAGTGCTAATTTGCCTATTTCTTCTTTGTTCCTGATTTTCTTGCCTGTTTATACAAATTATTCATATTTTTGCTACTGCTTTAAAGAGATATGAGAAAGGTGTCAATGTCAGAGCTGTTATTGAATGGGTACCAAGCAATGTGCTAGGCATTCTTAAAATCATTCTTGCTAAACCTCAAAAAATTCTGAGGCCAGTTATCATCTCCATTTTATTGATATAGAAACTGAGGCTCCCAGAGGTTAAATAACTTACTGAAGAAAATATCACAAGTATTATGGTTCATGGCCAAGATGGGATTTGAAAATAGGTCAATTTCCAAAGCCTTTATTTTACTGAACACTGAATCCCTATTATTTTCAACCCTATAAAAATTTAGTATGTTCAGTATAATCTAAAGATCCACTATCATTGACACAATAGAAGATACTTGGAAAAGCAATTTACTTAAGCAAGTCTCACTTTATCTATTAACCCTATTTTTAATATTTTTATTTTGTGTTCTAATGACATGAATGATGTTACCCAAACTATCAATTTCTAGTATGTTTTTTAAAATTTGAATTCTTTACTGTTGAAAATATTACATGTCTCCTTTTCCCCTCTAGTATGGTTTTTATTTGTCATGTTCTACATGGTAGGAGATTCTAATGGTTTTAGATGCCTATGAACCTTAGTCACATCCCCTTGGATCCGTCAACACATGCTGTTGTGGTTGAATGATTATCTGCTCCGTCAGTGGCAGAGAATTTCTCTGACATCATCAAATTCCCATTTTCCTAGCTGTCCCTCAAGTCCTTTCACCTTCCAAAGAAATAACTGTTAAGAAGAGACACCAGGCTTTTCATATTCTTTAGTTGGCTTCTAACAAAGAAATGCAATTTGAAAGTCAAAGCTGAGCAATGTCTCCCTTATCCTGACCACCTTTTCACCTCCTCTGAAAGGGAAATACATAAAATACTTTCGGAAGTAAAGGAAGGTCAAGAGTGTGAAGAAGAACAGGAAAAGAAAGTTTAGCTAATATTTTGAAGTAATGCCTTACTATGGTGACATGATAATAGCCAATTCATTGACCGTTTATTGAATATTTATCAAATAACAACCGCAGTGTTGATTACTTTATTGATACTCAGAGAATCACACAACCAGAAAGACAGAATATAAACCCAGGTCTAAAACACTACAAATCCCAACTATTTCAGCAACTGTGTCAGAGTAGGAGAGGAAATATTTGGCATCAGAGACACATTCAGCCAGTTCCTTGTAGATTATTACAATAGGCATTGCCTGGCTCTATCAGTTCTATATCAGGATTCCAAGATAGAACATGTTGCTGCTTTGCACCCTCAGTTTGTTCACATTATTCCCTGTCCCCCTCTAACCTTACACTTTGTTGTTGCCCCTGAACTTGGGCCTTAGCATTTCTCTTCTGATTCTGCAACACTCACCTTTCTGGATCATATTTACAACTCTATCTTTAATTGTTATGCACGAATAACTCCTTAATTCCAGTTTCCTTGTTTTAGTATCATTTTGGTTACTAGGAGGACCAGGACGCAAAGGGTAGTGCTGGCACTTTTAGGGAGAAAACCAATGAGGCCAAAGAACCTGTTAAATCACACATGACGCCATAGTGCAGAGTTTTATTTTTTGGTATTTTGCTCCATACTTCATCTGGTCTTCCTTTCTTCCTTCCCTTCTATCCACTGAACTGTTCAAATAACCCTATTATTATTAGAGAGATGTAATAATATATGCTGTAAGAAATTGGAAAATACAGACAAGCAAAACAAAATCCAGCACATTCCTGCCCTGACTGGTTTGGCTCAGTGGATAGAGCGTCGGCCTGCAGACTGAAGGGTCCCAGGTTCAATTCCGGTCAAGGGCATGTACCTTGGTTGCGGGCACATTCCCAATAGGGGTTGTGCAGGAGGCAGCCGATCCATGTTTCTCTCTCATTGATGTTTCTAACTCTCTATCCCTCTCCCTTCCTCTCTGTAAAAAATCAATAAATTATATATTTTTAAAAATCCAGCACATTCCCACCAATCATGGGTCACCATTATTAACACTTTAGCACATGTCCTTATGGTGTCTTCCAGATGTGGGGAAGACAGTTGTCACATGGGAGATTTATCTCTCCCTATGGGGGTAGGTGGTGGGGACAGAGACATCAGAGTGTTCTTGTAATTTCTTAAGTAACTTTAATTCAAAATAATCAACATGCCATTGTGGGATATCTTGGGGCAAAATAATCAAGCCTGGAACAATTTCCCACTAGATACTCTGTAGGGATCAGATGTGTCTCTAAATTATGTTAATTAATTGTATCTCTTGAATAGCACTGATTTCATGATGGAGGGTCTGTTTCCAATATCCATTATACTTAGTAAAAAGCTGCTAATTTTAGCAATGAAACTTGATTTCTAACATCCATTGTACTAATTAATGAAGTATCTACTTTTGATCAGAAATAAAAATAGTTGATGTGCTTGCAGTGCTGCCTCTAGAGCAAGCATGTCAAACTCAAAAGCTAACACGGGCCAATTAACAAGGTTTAAGTTTATGTGGACCACAAAAAAACAAAAGCTTCAATTTTCATAGAAACGTAGGTTTATTTCAATAGAGACATGCTGAATACAAAGGGCTGAAATAAATGAGTCATCATTAACATAAAATAATAGAACATTTTATTTTTTTTAAATATATTTTATTGATTTTTTACAGAGAGGAAGGGAGAGAGATAGAGAGTCAGAAACATTGATGAGAGAGAAACATCGACCAGCCGCCTCCTGCACATCACCCACCAGGGATGTGCCCGCAACCCAGGTACATGCCCTTGACCGGAATCGAACCTGGGACCTTTCAGTCCGCAGGCTGACGCTCTATCCACTGAGCCAAACCGGTTTCGGCACATTTTAATAAAAATTAATATTTTTCTTGAACATTAACTTACAGGCACTGAATAACTGCACAAATTAATAAGCGTAACGCAAATAAACCTATTTTTCTTGTTCTCAGAAAGTGAAATATTTCCTGTTGCACACACCAAACAAGTCAGTACAAGACTAATGACATGGCAATCAGCTGCTAAAATATTCTCTGCTAGTATTGGTGGAGAGAAATGGTGTGCCTGTGCATAAGGTGCGTAAGGGAAATGAATGCAACATGATTATAGTAATCAGTAATTAGCGAACATTATAGTTTGTTATTAATATATAGAGACCTGGGGCACGAAATTCCTGCACGGGCAGGGTCCCTAGGCCTGGCCGGTGATCAGGGCTGATTGGGGACTTCCAGCTGCTGGGGCCTCCCCCAGCTGCTGGCTGGGGCCTTCCTTTGTTCCACACCACCCCCTGGTGGTCAGGACACGTCATAGTGAGCAATCAAACTCCTGGTCTCCAGGTCGAACTCCCAAGTGGAAACTTTACATATATATATGTAATTTATAACAGGATGTTGTAAAAATTAAGTTATGAAATTTTTATTAAAACATTTCTTACATACCATTATATTGGCTGGGCCGTAAAAATATTTGTTGTGGGCCAAATGTGACCCACAGGCCACGAGTTTGACATGTTTGCTCTAGAGTGTTGTCTTAGTCTAATTAAATGCTAGCTGACCATCCTGAAAAAGACAGCCTACTATCTCTAGAGGAGAACTTATACTAACACAGTA